AAACAATTGAAAAGAACTTGAAAGGAAGAGGGAGGATGGGAGACATCCACAGTTTCAGGGACAGGTGGGGTTTGAACAAAAGATGTTTTTTAAAAATCATTGATTTTCATTTCAGGTTGATTTAGCAAGAAACCAAGCCAGCTGCCTATAATGAAAGTTCATGGGCACATGGTTGGTTCTGCAGGGACTACAGCCTTTTTTGCAGTGAAATTTTGTGGCCTCTTGTGCTGTTAGCCTTGTGCTGTGGTGTTGCCAAGTGATTTCTCCAATTCTCTTTTCTCAGTGGGCTAGAACGCAGCTGATTAAATAGGCCGTGACTCACATAAGCTCCCGTGTCTTTTTTATTGACTGCTTTATGGAAATGTATCACACTCCAAAGGGTCCCCATTGTTGTTGCTGTGCGTAGCTGACTAAGGAGTCATGTTTAGCGCTGAGAGATGGAATCCTACTCTGTCGTTTTTCATTGCAAAGTTGGGATTGGGTGGAATCCAAGGGCTTAAAGGCATCTGGATGAGGAGAGAAGGATGGCTGAGAATTTCTTTTATCTTTATCTACCATGAAAGTTGGGTGGCCATCACTTCTAGGTAACACTTCTCTGCTGATCTTATCTTTATGGCCCCACATCCTTCAGCAAAGTGAATCTTTTCTTTATATGGGCTATTCTGGGAGATTTAGTTAAGTACAGTAGTAGAGAGAGATTATGACACGAATGTAATTCTGTTTTGTGCTGATACAACGGGATACACTCTTAGATTTATCCAAGAAGGCCATTTATTCCAAATAACTCTAAATCATTTCTATTTTTTTCATTAAGATGGTGATATCTTTTTTTCAGGTAACGGACAAAAAGCCTCAGTTTTTAAAAAATTGTATACTTAAATATAAATGTTTTTGCCCTAAAATAGCAACTCATGCAATTATTTTTGGCTCCTTCCTGTTTTTATCATCATCCTGCAAGGTATTTACATACTTTCTATTAGGCATTAAGTAGCTCAGCAGATCTGTTCATTTGCCAGGAGGTGTGGATTCAGCCATACAAGACTCCTCCTGCCTCATCACCCCAGGACCATAGCTAACATTGTGCATCCTCGAGATCACTGGTTCTTGATCAGTAGGACACCGAGCTGACACTGAAAGAGGAGACAGCTTGATTGCCACAATGGCTTCCCATCTTGATTGTGTGGATTTATCCAATAGATCATGGAGCTAATGAAATTGAGCTCAGTGTCAACTTACACTGAGAACAATTCTGTTATTTTTTTAAAAGATTTATTTATTTATTTATGATAGACATAGAGAGAGAGAGAGAGAGAGAGAGAGGCAGAGACACAGGAGGAGGGAGAAGCAGGCTCCATACTGGGAGCCCGATGCAGGACTCGATCCTGGGACTCCAGGATCGCACCCTGGGCCAAAGGCAGGCGCCAAACCGCTGAGCCACCCAGGGATCCCCCAATTCTGTTATTATATTCACCACCACACAGTGCCTTGTACACAGAAGACAATCATTAGAATAGAAATTGATTTGGTTCAATTTCCTAATTTTTATTCCATAGCCATTTCCAACTTCATCTCAATTTTGTCCACTGCCCATAAGAGAAACCAGGCAAGAGAGTTCATTAGTACAGATTCCTTCTAATAAGAAAGCAACACTGGGGCGCCTGGGTGGCTCCATCAGTTAAGCATCTGCCTTCAGCTCAGGTCATGATCTCAGAATTCTGGGATCAAGCCTCGTATTGGGCTTCCTGCTCAGTGCAGCACCTGCTTCTCCCTCTCCCTCCGCCTCTCTCTCTCTCTCTCTCTCTCTGTCTCTCTGTCTGCTCACACACTCTCAAATAAATAAATAAAATATTTGGAAAAAAGAAAGAAAGGAAAGAAAGAAAGAAAGAAAGAAAGAAAGAAAGAAAGAAAGAAAGAAAGAAAGAAGAAAGAAAGAAAGAAAGAAAGAAAGAAGAAAGAAAGAAAGAAAGAAAGAAAGAAAGAAAGAAAGAAAGAAAGAAAGAAGAAACCAATATAATCCATCTTGCCAAAACACAGCACATAAAATACCGCATTTCTATCTCTGGTGCTCTTCAAAATCTGCTGGTGAATAACCAAGAGAGAGAATTCAGCAACTCATTCCCTGCCCAATTTTAGCAAAACTAAGTATGACTCTTTGGGAAAGAAGGTGGTGGTGGTGCTGACCCTAGCTTCCTAGAATTAGTGACTTGGAGTTCAAACATCTCTGCAGCATCCTGTCTTTGTTTTCTTGGTGGTGGCATTCTTGGGTTTCGGTTGGTGGGGAGAGAAATGCCTCATGCTGATAATGTACTGAAAGTAAATGAAATTAAATAAGCGAAGCAGTGCTCATCACTACTTCCTTCCCCCCTGGGTAATTCAATTCAAGCTCTCTCTCTGATGGCAACTCACAGGGACTGTCTCTGTCACCCCGCTGGGGCCTGGAGTCTTAACATCTAAATAAAAGTTTCACTCAAGCATTTTTTATGCTCCTGCCAGCAGGATCAGTGAGCTGGTGTGGGCACATTAATGTAATATTCATACTCACAGACTCTCCCCGCACACGAGGCAATGTCTTCCCATTTTCATAATTATAGATGTTCCATAAAATGGCATTTAGATTTGCATTAAAAAAGGAGGTTTGAATTCTAATAGAACATTTAACATGTCTTTTATGATTCAGACTCTCAGCATCTTTAACAAGAAGTGTCTCTAAGTTTTACAAGACCTCAAAAAAGGAAAAAGAAAAGAAAAAAAAAAAACTGAAAGAAGGGATGGATACTCCAAGCTTAGGAGATCCTGTTTTTCTCATCCCCTCTGTCTTTCATTTCATTTTTAGGCCTCTAGGAGCGATTTTTGACAGTGCTACAGAGAGGATGAAGTCTCCTCCAAAGGGCTTTCAGAGCCATGCTCAGGTCCTGGACCCAGCCACTCTAACCTCAGTGGATCAGTTTCTGTTTTCTTGGAGAGCATTTTCAGAAAGATATTAGAATTTTTAGAGGGGTGGGAGAAATGAAAGGATCCTAGACAAATGAACTTCCCTTTGCTGCTGTTCATCTCATGTGTGCACCCTGAGACCCATCTGGGAGGATTTATAGCAGTCACAGAGTTTGCTAACTGTAGAGCACACAAATGAAAATAGTCCATGAACAAGGAAGTTGACAATAAGGACAAATAGAAAGAATCAGGCACTTTGACACACTAAAAAAGAAAAACTCTTCAGATCTCTATGCTTAAAACTAAGTTTGAAACAGCTAAGAAGCAAAAGGTAATCTTAGTTGCATTTTAAATTGTCTGAAAATGCTCTTTTTAAATAAATTTTTATTTTTTTATTTTTATTTTTTATTTTATTTACTTATTCATGAGAGACACAGAGGGAGACAGAAGCAGAGACACAGGCAAAGGGAGAAGCAGGCTCCATGCAGGGCCTGATGTGGGACTTGATCCCGGGTCTCCAAGATCAGACCCTGGGCTGAAGGCAGCGCTAAACCACTGAGCCACCCGGGCTGCCCCTTTAAACACATTTTTAAATAAGAAGTGCCAGCTCATAGCCCCCCGCACCCAAATAAATGTTAGTTATAGTAGATTTTAAAAAACAATTGTGCAATTGAAAAAATTATTTCAACCCCAAACTTTCAATATATTGTATAGGTGACCCAGTTGATTTATATGGGGTTGTGCCTTAATTTGGTTTGTATTTTGTTTTGATTTCTAAATCTATTAAGGGAAACCAAAAGAGCTTTGGTTTTGGAGACTAAAAAGAATAAACATTAGAACTATATCAGCCCACTCTCTTTATTTCTCCTAACTAAGAAATACGGGCTTGGGGGCACCTGGCTGGCTCTGTTGGAAGAGCACACAACTCTTGATCTCAGGGTCATGAGTTCAAGCCCTGTCTTGGGTATAGAGATGACTAAATAAACTTTTATTTAAAAAAAAAGATTTTATTTATTTATTCATGAGAGACAGAGAGAGAGGGAGAGAGAGGCAGAGACACAGCAGAGGGAGAAGCAGGCTCCATGCAGGGAGCCCAACATGGGACTCGATCCTGGGTCTCCAGGATCATGCCCTGGGCTGAAGGCAGCACTAAACCGCTGAGCCACCCAGGCTGCCCAGTAAATAAACTTTTAAAAACAGATATATAGACTTGTATTTTTTAAAGAGTTTTTGTTGTTCTTGTTTCATTTTATTTTTTGATAAAATGTCCTTTTTTGTCCTTACCCCCTCCCTTCTATAAAATAAGTGTGAACCCCTGTAGTGAAAGATGGCTCAGGATCTTGACTTCTCAATAAATTTGTACCTAACAAGGCTAACTGAAAGTCAAGGATGGAAAAAAGAAAGAAGAAGAAAGAAAGAAAGAAAGAAAGAAAGAAAGAAAGAAAGAAAGAAAGAAAGTCAAGGATGTTAGCAGCACATGTTCCAAAGCCAATGGCAGTTCCAGAGTCTTCTCTTGGCATAGGCTCCAACCATTCTTAGACTCTTTCCCATACTTGGACAAAACCAGGATGTGGCACTTACTGCCAATTGAGCCCTTCTTTGTATGAATTTAATATTTATGTTTTTGTTTTTTTGTTTTTTTAAGAGTGTGTATTGCTCTCACGGAGGTGGTTGCATGTATGGTGAACTCTATCACTCGTTAAGCTTCTCTCTGCTGGTAGAAATTCATTTGACTTTTGATTATCTCAATGTGGATTATCCTATTTGGAGCTTATATCCACAGCAAACTCTTAATTCTCTAGAGTCATATTTAGGCACATATTTAGGCTACTTCCCCTTGTCCAAACTCATGTATGTTTAGATCATTGTAAGTGATTTTAGCATTAGATATAATTAGGAAGAAAGAAAATTTACTTCCCCCATCATACAAAAATTGTTTTATTTTGTACTGTGTTTAAGCTGTTGTGTTTCTGCACCCCCTTCATTAATGTGGATTATCTCAAGGAGCCTAAATAAATGAAAAAATTCTGTCAGGCTTCAACAAAGCATTCTGCTGTTATTCCTTTTAGGAATGGAAGACATCACAAGAGGAGCTCAAGAACTTGATAACATCATCAAGCAAGGTTACTTGGAAAAGAAAAGCAAAGGTACTGACCAGATCCACAGTCCTTAGAATGTTCCAGGAAGGGGAGGGACATGAAGAAAAAGAGGGCTAACATAGCAGGTGCTTTTTCTATGACCAATTCTGTGTTTTGGAGATGAATGGCCAAAAAGAAGGCAGGAGAGGAAAAGAAGTCTGGTGTCTATGTGTAGGCTGAAGAGATGCCTCAAAACCACCAGGATAGGAAACTAGTTCTGCTTTACTCACCTGGTACACAACAGGTGTTTAATAAATACTTGTTGAATGCATGAGTGATATTCTTGTTTTCATCCCTCAGTGTGCTCCCATAGAGTAAAACTATGTTGCCACAAGCATAATTTTACAACCGATGGGAAGCAACCCAGTTTCACGTTTCAGAGGAGCCCAACCTCGACCCATCACTCACTGGATTAAAATAGATACTGCTATCCTAACTAAGCCCAGGGTTCCCAGGTTTAACACTCAAAAGGCAAATTGCCTTCGTACAAAGAAAGAACTTCTCATGCCTGTGTGGCCTGGAGCATCAGTTTGGTTTGCTAAAAGGCACCACGTAAAAGTATCATAGAGAATTTGAAAAGTACTAGATGAGATTAGAACCTGAAAGCTATAAAAGAAGATAGATAGTGGGATAGCTGTGAGGGGTCACATCAGGCAAACCCTGTTTAGAATTTGGACCTTTAACTGAGCGAGCCCTCTGGACTCTGAGTCAATATGGGATAGCCTGCGGGAGTGAAAGGGAGGGTTTTACAGTCCATTAACCTAGGAAATAAAACAATAACACACTGGACTGTGTGTTGTTGGACTTTACGGACTCTTCAGTGGTTGTAGTTACCTGAATTTATATCCCTTACTGCTGTTCTGTTTAGATCATAGTTTCTTTGGATCAGAGTGGCAGAAGCGGTGGTGTGTTGTCAGCAGAGGCCTCTTCTACTACTATGCTAATGAGAAAAGTAAGTGTTCTTCATTTGCACAGCAGCATCTCACTCCTGGATGCAAGCACTTCGTAAATTCTCGAGCACTTAGATCTCACGATAGCAGTCTTTAACTAACACCCATAAAGGGACATGCTTGGGAAAAACAGCCTTGGGTAAGTAATACCTTGCCCATGACCAAAAACTCAGATGCCAGTTTAGAAGTTATTTCCCCTTTAAACATTAGGATAATGTGGTCAACATATCAAAAGGTTATCTATGGGGCACCCTGGTAGCTCAGTCAGTTAAGCATCCAACTCTTGTCTTTGGCTCAGGTCATGGTCTCATGGGTCATAGGAATCAAGCCCCAGGTGGGGCTTTGCTTGAAGCTTCTCTCCCTCTGCCCCTCCCCCCAACTCACATGTGCACTCTTTCCCTCTAATAAATAAATCTTTTTAAAAATAAAATGTTAAAAAAGATCATCTTTTATTATGACTATAACATATTATCAAGGTTGAACACTTTGGCATTCTTTTTTTTTAAAGAACCTCCAACTCTTTATGGACATTAACCGTATAGTTAAAATATTGAAAAAAAAATCTGAGGATTTCAACAGCTTAGCAACAGCCCAGAAATAGACCCCTTGAGTCCAAACTCTCTAAGAATATGCTCTCAACTTTATCCTACTGAATACTGGGAAGTAGTCCAGTGGACATCCCTAGAGCCATGGAGTACTGAGACCCGAATGGTTGCTGTGCCCAAGAGACACCCTCCAGCCAGATGGCAGCAGCAGTGAAGTGTTGACTCAGGCCAGAGGCAGCTTCTTAATGAGCCACCACTGAGTCAATCAAGCACAACACTCATATGCTATCCCTAGAAGACTTCCCAACCATGCTTAATACAGTCGCTAAGTTCCTGAGAGGGAACAGGATATAAGCACAAATATGAGTCAGCTACAACTAAATACAAGTTAAAAATGATTATTGTAGGGACGCCTGGGTGGGTCAGCTGTTAAGTGTCTGCATTCAGCCCGGGGCGTGATCCTGGAGTCCCAGGATTGAGTCCCACATCAGGCTCCCTGCCTGGACCTTGCTTCTCCCTCTGCCTATGTCTCTGCCTCTCTCTGTGTGTGTCTCTCTTATGAATAAATTAATAATCTTTTAAAAAATTATTATTGTAAATGAACACAAACCTTCAAAGAAGGGGTACCCTCCTGCAGACTCTAACTAGCCACAGGAATAATTCTATGAAGCAAGAGAAAAAGAAAAGCAACACATCAGTTCTTGTGGAGGCCTTCCTTGGGCTCTAATTCCTTGACACAGAGGCTCATAATTCAGAGTAAACCCTTCCTTTTCCTTCCAATCATTCCCTGTTACTCCTCTCTTTGTTCCTTCCATGATTAGGCATCTTCCAATGCCTAGATGTCCAGTCTAGGGAATAATCAGATATCTACCCAATTGCCTTTGGACTTCCTATACTTTTGGAATTAAGGTAGCTGAAAGAACTGCAGCTTTGCTAAATGACCTGGCATCCTTAAGATTTGCCCTTGGGCGTCAAGGCAATTGATTCACCCTGCCTCTCTGCCTACCACAGGTATCACTGACTTCCTCTTCTTCTTCCTCCCTCTTATATTCCTCAGAGACCTTCCCATCTAGAGGTGAAGTGTGAAGCCCCCTTCACAATCCATAGCCACAGAGCTCAAACCCTAAGTAACACACCCCCAGCCTTCCTTCCAACCCCCAGACCACTCTTCAACCCAGAAACCACAATTTCTTCCCTGAATTCTAGATGTACAAGCCAGCCAGGTGCTATTTGCTTATTTTAAACCTTCAAACTAATTTATATCATTGTAAAATGTTCTTCACTTCCAAAAAAAAAATGTTCTTCACTTCCCATGCATTTAAATAAGTGGTTGGCATATCTGAATATAAAACCAGGTATCACATTCATTCATTCAGAATCCTCTATACTCAAGGTGAGAGAGCGGGAGAGGGAGAAACTTGGAGACTTTTATGGACCATTTTGCCGTCAGAGTGAAATAAAACCTGGTGACCAAAGAAACAACAAAACATTTAGTGGCCAGTTAGAACAAGGAGAGATACTTTAACAAAAAAGATTCTGGTGTCAAAAAGCACTGTTGCATGGCTCCCTTCTCGCCAGTTACTTCTTATTGTGCCCAAGACATTTTCTTAGTAAGTATAGAGTGTTTGTGTATTTCTTTTAGCTCAACCAGGTAAGGATAGAGTCTTTTTCTTTTCTTTTCCTAATACTGTCAACCCACTGCCACCTTATCATCATCATCCTCAAAAAGCATGTATTAAGAAATCCATTTCACACGATAACAGGACACAAATCATCACCCTGACGCTGTGGTTCCACTCTTCTGTATGCTCTGCCTGAACCACACCATGAGGACAGAAAACCATCGGGAACCACCTGCCTCTTTTCCCATTCCTAATATTTTATTTTTTAAAAAAGGGAGTTACAGGCAAAATGGTCTCTCTTCTCCTTCACGTAGAGCCCTGTCCCTCCTTCGTCATCACCCAATGATACTTAACAGAACCCTGCTACTTCCCAATTTGACCTCTGGGAAGGGGGGATAAAATATGGAGTTTTAATTATGCTCCCTCTAGCACCAATTCCCACCTGACCAGCAGTGGGGGAGAGCAGTCTAGCCCAAATGCTACAGAGGGCATAGGGAGAGAGCCTGGGAACTCCTCATGCCCCCTGTGCTGCTGTCCACCCCCTCTCAAACGTGAGCTCTGCTGGCCCTGATAATAACATGCTGCAGTTCTATAATAGCCTTCAAGAGCCTCACGTTTACAGCCACTCTCTCCCTGTTGTAATAATTCCTTCCTTCTGTTATTATAGATCTCTTAACATTCTAATAAATTCTCTGTCTCTGTTGTACTCTTTTGGCAAAATAACCTTTCATGTTGCATTTCCCTAGCTTGGCAGTGATCTCTGCCTCACTGTCACAGTAGCCTCTTCTTAAGCTTCCTTAATAACCTTTCCTTGACTGTTGTGGTTCCTCAGGGATGTAACAGCTGTTTCCGTGCTTTTATTTTACATACCAGAGAAGATGCCTTCCCTTGGCGGTTGCATCTCTCTAGGGATACAGGGAGCTTTCCTGTCTTGCAGGCAAGCAGCCCAAAGGGACCTTTCTCATTAAGGGCTACAGTGTACGGATGGCCCCCTACCTGCGAAAAGATTCCAAGAAAGAATCCTGCTTTGAACTGACCTCCCAGGATAGGCGCAGCTATGAGGTAGGATGAGCCGAGGAGATGATGGTCCTCATTTGTGTTGTAATTTCATTCCATGCTGCATGTGAGCTGGGGTGCTATGCTGGGTTCCATCCTTTCTTTGTTACCTGCTCATTTCTTACCAGGACCTTCTCTCTTGACATGTCTTCACCTTTGTTATGTGATGCCCTCCTTCCTCCTCTGTATTGTCACTCTCATCCTAGATACTGCTTTTGGTTGGCTTCCGACTTTTCACCCCTCCCCTTCCCAGTCTCACTCCATAGGTGAGAGTCTTGTCTATTGCAGCACACAATCCAATTCCTTATTCATCATCCCTGATTTCACACCTTCAATTTCCATCCTCTTTATTTTTTAACAGACCTCCTTCACTTCATTCCATGAAAGCCAGAAAAAAGAAAAATCTGACAGTAGAATGAAAAATAAGTTATTTTCCCATATTCATCTTGCTATCCCAAATAATCTTCCTGTGTGTAGAAGCATTGCATATCTCTAGAAGGACTCCTAAGACATGGGTGACAATTGAGTAGTAACAGTGATAACTGGAAGGACTAGAGTACCTGGGTTGGGGTGAGAAATGCTTATTTTTCAATGTGTTCATTCTTATATATTTGACAAATATAGTAGGCAATATTATAAGCAAGACATTTATTAGCTAAAGCAATAAAAAATTCTGACTATAGGAATGTCATGATTTTCTCTGAAAATATATTTTTACATGTGTCTGTGTATATATACACACACACATACACACACAAATGTTGTTTCCCGCTTGTTGGTCATTTTTATCTTATCATGATTTTACTAAAACAATGTGGAAAAACGTTAGCTAACTTATGAGAAAGAGAAAAGCCATGCTAAGGTTAATATTAACCACTTGAGTAACCTTTTGACTATTCAAATGCTTCTCAGTACTTGTCCCTTTATATTTCTATGGTACCTTAAATCTCATTTTGATAAAACGACCTAGGTCTTTAATATGGAATTTCAAAAAAAGATTTTTTTATTTAAACTAAACTTTTAGGGGATCCCTGGGTGGCGCAGCGGTTTGGCACCTGCCTTTGGCCCAGGGCGCGATCCTGGAGACCCGGGATCGAATCCCACATCGGGCTCCCGGTGCATGGAGCCTGCTTCTCCCTCTGCCTATGTCTCTGCCTCTCTCTCTTTCTCTCTCTGTGACTATCATAAATAAAAATAAAATAAAATAAAATAAAATAAAATAAAATAAAATAAAATAAAATAAAATAAAATAAAATAAAATAAACTTTTATAAAGAGTCCTTAATAAATAAATAAATATATATATATATATATAACAGATGTATGCACTGGGTCTGTATCTAAGTTATTATTATTATTCAGTATTGATGGTGCCTCCTTCACATAAAAATTTATTTGACAAGTCTAAATCAATTTCCTTAGACATTTCTTACGTAAATGAGTTTTTATGAAATCAAGAATGATAATGTCTATTAATAAGTATTAAGCAGGAATCTAGGTTTCTTATACGGTACATATCTTTATCTTACCCTAATGGCCAGATAATAAAAATGTTTTTCGGGAAGAGTCATTTCAAGTTGATTCATTTAAAATAAAAAATTACTAAGGCTTGATGCTTGACTGACTTGTTTTGTGAATCAGAATGTAGAGTTTGTTTACTTCTTCTATTCTTTGGCCCATTGAATCCAAGTCATTATCATGGTCTGTGGATTCTTCCTCTACAATATCCTTTGGATCTTCCCCTTCTTATTCCCACAGCCGTCACAATACTTGTCCCAACCACGTCCCCCAGAGGACCTGCTAAATAGCCTTCTAGATGGTCTTCTGTCTCCAATTTCTCCCTTTTCTAATCCCTTCTACCCACAACAATTGAAAGAATCTCCCACGCCTTTTGCTTAGAATTTACAGCTTCCTATTGCCTACATTTCAAGTCTGAACTCCTAGTACTCAGGGCCCCTTCACCAACTCCCCCCCCCCGTGACCCCTGACCCAGAACGCTCCAGCACCACCTGTTCCTGGTCTCCTGTCTGGCTGATCTGCCTACCCTCCCCCATACACAGTGGTCTCACACCTCATCTTCTGCACATGGTTCCCTCCACCAGGAAGCTTCCACCAACTCTTTCAAAATCCAACCAGAACAGTATTACTTTCTCAAGCTTCCCGGGCTTCCTCTAGTGCTGCTGTGCTCTCTCAGCATCCCTCTTAGCATCCAACTGTTCTCAGATGCACCTACTTTGAATTGTTTCCATTTCAAGTGTGTATCCTGTCTCCATAACTGAACATTGTTCTTTGAAGTCAGGAGTTTTAGTTTGCTTTTTCTTTCTGTAAACTTTTCTCAAAAAAATGCTTGATGAATGCATGGATAATCGAATGAATGCACATGCACATGCACATGCATGAAGGTCTGGACCCAAACAGTAGTCCATATGGGCTATACAGAACTACTGAAGGGAAATAACACTTTGAGTAAGATTTTGATTTTTTTTTATCTAAATATTAAGCAGACAGCAAATCCTGAGCTTTCAACCTGACTCTGCAACTTGGCCCACAAAGCTCTTCTCTTTGAACCTCCCTATAGGATTCATGGAAATTTTATGAATTCATAAAGGTGATAAATTAATTCACTAATTTTTCTCTAGTTTACAGCTGCTAATCCAGCTGAAGCCAGGGACTGGGTGGATCAAATAAGTTTCTTGTTAAAGGGTAAGTACCATTATTACAGAAACAATACTTAAGTGGATTTGCAGTTGAAGTTATATTGCATAAATATAACCCACAGGCTTCAATCTATTTTTTCTGTTCATTCTCCCTTCTACCATTCCTTATATTATAACAACAAATAGTACCATGTATGAACCAGAAGGTAAACAAACCATCAACCTGGAGATGACCACTGTAGTATTCATAATCACTAGAAAAGGAGATTATGAAAACTAGCTCAACTCAATTAGATATCTCCCAGCCCCTTATATTCCTTTTTTTTAATTTTTATTTATTTATGATAGTCACCCAGAGAGAGAGAGAGGCAGAGACACAGGCAGAGGGAGAAGCAGGAGGCTCCATGCACCGGGAGCCCGACGTGGGATTCGATCCCGGGTCTCCAGGATCGCGCCCTGGGCCAAAGGCAGGCGCTAAACCGCTGCGCCACCCAGGGATCCCCCAACCCCTTATATTCTGGAAAGGGAATTCATATCAAATGTAAAGTCATCTAGATGTAATTTAGGTCCCAAATCTTCTTGTTTTAAACTTAACAGGAAGTAGAAATCTAATCAAGGTGGCCTTCATGACCATTTGACATTAAAAGCAAATTGTTCTTTCCCAAACCACAATAAAATATTCCTCACCTTGGGATGGGAAGAGTCCTGCCTGAAGATGTTAAATGACCGCTCTTAGAGTACCCTCTGCTGGCCAGCCTGCAAGCGCAGCAGTGACAGTGGCCCAGGAAGCCTTATCTGGGAGTGGCCTGGCAGGTAGAAGCAGCCTACTTGAATCTATCACTTGGCATCAGATAACCCATATTACACCATCATGGCAGGACTCTGCTGCTGAAGAAAGGCAGAAATACCAACTTTGTTCATGGCCCAAGACCTAGAGAGAAACACATCAGCCTAAAAACACCAAGCCTTTTCGCCTCTGTTTTTTATTCTGCTATAAGATTTTATTGTGGATAAAAAGAAGGAAGCACCAGAGCTTTAATTACAAGAATTGCCTATTTTACTCAGTTTATGCCTTTGCTTTCACAAAAACAAACTATTGTATCTACCAAGAGCGTCACGTATAATAGACTGGAACTAGGCAAACATGAACATTGATGGCAAGACTACAGGGTACACTCTCATCTAGGTGCCTTGGATTTATGCGTGTAATATACCCCTAAGTGTGTAAACCTCAATAAAACTCAAAGCAGCTTTATTGAGCTGTACCCTGTGGTACTTTCAGAATCCCACATTGAAGAAATTATTCATTCCATTTTATTTTAAAACAAACAAAATAATAACATATGGTTTAAGCCACAAATGTGTCTTTGATCCCTTCCTCATATGATGTGGCACCAGAATTCAGATGAAAATTGTTGCAAAATCTTTATTAAATGCCTAATCAAGCCAAACAGTTTTATTGTGTTTTGAAATGAATGCCGGATGTCTCTCTCCATCCTTTCCTTCCCCAGAGTACCCTGACTGCACTCGCCCATCCTGCAGAAGCCCCTCAGCAGGGTTTCAGAGAGCATTCGGTACTAGACATCAGAGAGCGAACCTTCCCAGTTCCCCATTAAAATAAGAAACCAATCTCCCTCTCTGGCCCTGTGCTCCCCAGTGCTGTAATGGCTCCATATCCTTTCTGGAATGACCCACTTTGAGGTCAGCCAGACTGTACAGTTGCAAAAGGACATGGTAACCACATGGCTCAGCCATTCCATTTGGTCTTGCACTACTATAATATTTTTCTGTATCTCACTTTCTCTTCTTCCACCCTTGCCGGTTTTTCTCTTTATAAACAAACTTGCCTGACATTCTGCAGTAAGATCATGGGAGAGATGAGCTTCTGACAGCTCAGCTACCTTCAGGAAGCCACCATAGCTCCCAGGGTTCTGCGCATCCTGTGGAGCCACAGGCCATCACTCACCCTTCTAGTTCTCTACTTGGCAACAGTACACGGTACACTGGCATTTCCTCTTCTGGCCTCATTTTCATCCCTTCACTTCATGTGCTTATTCGCACACTCATCCTTTTCAAAGCTGCTTCATCCTGATCAAGTTTTATTGCATGGAAGGATTTATGTTGATAGTTTAAACCTGACACAGTGCTAGTCTGGCCTTTTCTGTAGATTTCCTGGCACCACGGCCCACGTTAGAAATAACAGCACTTAACCTAGCGTTTCATTTTCTTTTGACATATTTTATTCTCATCCCTCCACCTCCTTCTCCCTCTTTCCTTCCCTGCCTTTTTCTTTCCTTTATCTCTCCACTGTGATTCATTCTCACCTCTGCCCTGGCAGATCTGAGCTCCTTAACCATTCCGTGTGAAGATGAGGAGGAAGAGGAGGAAGAGGAAGAGACGTATGATGATATTGATGGCTTTGATGCCCCAAACTCCGGTTCCCAGTGCAGACCTATCATCTTGCCTGGGAGTATGGGGCCAAAAGAGCCCACAAAGGAGACAGAAGATGATATTTATGAAGTCTTACCAGGTGAGAAATTTTATCTTCTGATTATCTTCCATTGAAATTCTTGACCTGGTAGAAGAATGTAAGTTTGAAACCTCCAGAGGAAGCCAAATCTCTGAAGAAAAGAACATAGGGAGGGATGCCTGGGTGGCTCAGTTGTTGAGCACCTGCCTTCGGCCCAGGACGTAATCCTGAAGTCCCTGGATCGAGTCCCACATCAGGCTCCCTGCATGGAGCCTGTTTCTCCCTCTGCCTGTGTCTCTGCCTCTCTCTTTCTCTGTGTCTCTCATGAATAAATAAATAAAATCTTAAAAAAAAAAGAAGAAGAAGAAGAGCATAGAGAAGCTTCATTGAAGCTTCCATGATTCCCACCCAGTACAGAAGTTCTCCCTTGCTCTGAGAGCAAGATGACTTGATCAGGGAGTGTCTTTCACCTTTGCCATGTGAAGTAATTTATTACATATGTTGACAAGGTTAAAGAGTCAAGACTACTCAGGTTGGCCTTCACTGGTTTACTCTGGATCTTGAAGTGGGTCACCAAAACGCTCTGGTTTCAACTTCTTTTCTTTGTAAATGTGAAAATAATATAAAGTCACCTCAAAATGAGGAAGGTGATCAAAAGTCTAAAGGAATACAGATAAGTGCTGGCAAACTGTGTCAGTAGCCTAAGACCCTGATAGAGTACAACTCATTAGTACTTAGTTCATATATACCACAAATCTAATTGCATCTCCTACGCATAAACCTGTTTCCTCAGCCCACCATCACAGCAGGCCCATGTACATATTTCTTTTCTTCCAAAGGCATGGTAACCGGCATTTCAAAAAATGTATAGTCATCAGTGCTTCCGCATAGCCCCTTCTTGTGGGAACAAGAGCAGCTGTCGAATGGTGCAGAGCACAGTGGGGGTCAGACTGTGGAAAACCCGAAGACTGAGCCTTTTAATTGTGAGGTAGTTAGACCACAGGAACGCTGAATCTTCAAGTCCATTCAGAAAGATCGCTCCTGTGGAAATTTGCCAGGAGTTCAGTGCTCTGCTGAGAAATTCGAGTTAAGCCAAAATTTATAGCAGTTTAAACCTCAATCCCAGATGAACTTAGGAACGTAGGTGAATCTAAGGCCCCTAATGACAGGACTGGTTGCTAAAAAGCCAGGGTCAGTAAGCAACCTGCATTTCAAGGATTCCTAAGAAGAGGGTCTGACCCTGTCAATGCTACATTTATCTCTTCCCTTGGAGGGGTTGGGGGAGGAAGCTACGTCATTGCTTCCTGAGTCAAGGAGCAAGGCTGTGGCCCCACGTCTCCTTCTTGCTGAGGACCTCACCCACCTCCCCACCACCAGGGAGAGCCTGCTACTTCCCCTAGCACTTCCAGCCTCTGCCAGCCCGACTTCCCCAGCCTTTTTGTTGTGTTTTATTATGCAAATGATATCTTGGTTGAGGTCGAGCCATTTCTTGTGTCTGAAGTTAAAAAAAAAATGATAATTTCCTCAGCAAGTCATCGTCGTTAATGAAGTTTTACAAAAACAGATACAACCAAAGGAAAATAAAATTTCACAGGTGATAAATTTTTCCAATTTCCCTGGCAGAATTCGATAGGATTGTTAAATTAAGAGTGAAGGTGTCTGTTAGAAAGCAACGAGCAGTGATGGGTAATTTTATAGAGTGGAAAATTGAATCAAATTGCTACATTAAAACACAGCTCCTCTGAGAATCTTCCCTTTCACAGTCTGCTCCATTGCAACAGCAGGGTGCAGAAATGGATCTAATTCACAACACTCCCTAAAAGGAGATATACTCCTCAACTTGGCCAGAATCTTCTTAGGGAGCTCACATTCTACTCACTCTCATCCAGGCTGGGGGGAAATATCCAGGTGACACTCCACTTTGGGTTACAGCTGTGGAAGAGGGCTCTGGGAAAACCTCGCTGAACCACTCAGCCTTCTGGGGAGCAAAGAAGGGCCTTTTCATGCACCATGTTTAGTTCTCAAAGGAACCAGGGAAGAGAGGGCTGATGCTCAGAGGCACGGAGCAAAGGACAGGAAAGAGAAGGAGCCTTGGGAAATGAGATGAGTTTGGAACCATCACCTTCCACCCAGGCAATGGGTCGATGAATGTATAATTGACTTCTTAAAGACCATCCTTCCCTTGCCTCCTTACCTCCTACCCTGGGCCATCCCCACACTGCCTCAGAAATTCACATCAGTTCAGGTGTTGGAGTGGACTCCAAGGGCATGGAGACTGGTCTGATTTCCCAAGGAAAGCCACTTAGCCAATGCTCACAACTGTCCCTTGAAAGTGAGGAAGGCCACCCAACAGGAGAGCCAGAGACTCTCTTCAGGTTAGGGAAACTGCAGCTAACTTGCTTATAAGTGTCAAAAAAAACCTGTTCCCAGCCAACAGGTTCTTTCCTGAAAGCTTCTAGCCATCACAGTTTTTAGAAACCGCATTGGGAGTGGGCTATATTGATACTTAATAATGATATGAATATTTTAGCACCTAGTCTTTATCACCCATACCACTTCCCACCCATACCACTCAGCTTGTTGCTTCTGGAATTTTCTGTTCATTGTACATGTGCTACAGTACCAGTCCCAGAGGAATTGAAAGGGAATACGAGGGCACCTGACACTGCCTACCCTCTGCTGCTAACTCACAAGATCTTACTGAGCAACAGCATATGAGAAACAGCAAGGTATGGCTGGTAAGAGTACTGGCTCTAAGTCAGAATGGACCTCTTCAGCCACCTGCTAGCTGTGAGATCTTGAGCAAGTTCTTTGCCCTCTCTGTATGTGATTTTCCCACCTGTACAATGGGAATAACAGTAGTCCCTATCATGGAGGGAGACTGTGAGTAGCCTAGAGCTAGAGTTTGTAAACCACTTAGAACAGAGCCCTGGCATACAGTGAGTACTCAATAAATGCTGGCTATTAGGAATTTGGTGCTGTTTGAGTAGGAATTGATGCCTCCTTGAAAAATTGAGGGATGGCTAGTTCCCCGCCTCCACCAACCAAACCTGAGACAGTCCAGTTGGACATTTTCAGCTATATGTATGAAGCAGGTGAAATTGAAAATCCTGAGCAGATGGAATGTGGAGTGCACCTTCTGCTCAGGCCCGTTTTTACTGCAAGGACAGGTGCTGGGTAGAGGGATGGCCAACGGTAACATTGGATTGTGCTAACACTGCATACCCATCAAAAGTCAAATGACTGGGGCTTCTAACATTTGTTTCATTGTAACAGGTAAATGCCTTTTGCAGAGAATCCTTAGTAGCATTCTGCTACGCCTTCCTCTTTGGTCTGGGGCCTACACAAGCCTCATTGTCTCAATGGGAAGGCCATGTACATGAGATCTCCCTTTCAGAGTATCATTTCAATGGTCTTCCTAGTAGAGGAAAAGTGCTCGTAACACATACACATACAGTCAATACAAAAACTTTTTTTCCTAATCAAAATAATATATGGGTCATTAAATTAAATGCACTACATCACATTGATCATGGGATAATTAGCATTTGCTACGTAGCTGGCACTGTCCTTCCCATGAGGGAAAACCAGAGCACTCAAGGTTTTCAGCCAAGACCACAAAAATGTTAGTCCTGGGCTAGTATGGTTTCAAGGTTGGTATCCGGTGGGATTTCTGAACATCCGTGTTGAGCATAGGGGGCCCTTGACTTTTAAGATCTCATTTGCAGTAGATTAAACTATAGAGAATTACCACAAGGAAATACTGAAGCAATACATGCAAGATGGGAGGCTTCTCTGAGCTTTCTCTCACCCCTCCCGGACTATTTGACCAGCTAGACCAGGCCCAGTTTTGTAATTTGATATTCCATAAAAGGACAACTTTTATCAGGTTTCGCTTTCTCTGGGGCCTCAAAGCTGGAATCCAGCAAGGTGCCTGAGACCATTGTGCAGCTTTAACTGGGGCCTTGTAGCAGCTGCAGTGACAACAGAATCTGGCTGTGTTCTCAGGAGAGATTTTAGGAGAGCAAAAGGGAAGAGAGACAATGATTTCTCCCTAGGAATTTCTGTGTGCATTCTGACACTGCCCACACTGCCCCGGAGGGTTGTTCAGACCCAGAAATCAGATTGCTTTATAATAAAGCATATAACTGGGTTGTGTTTTTTTTTAATTTGCGTCAAATGGAAACAAGCATTCTATGGAATTATCTTCCCCCCTTTACTGTTATCCAGATGCACAGGAAGAAGAAATGATGAGGGCAGCCTGGGTGGCTCAGTGGTTTAGCGCCGCCTTTGGCCCAGGGTGTGATACTGGAGACCCTGGATCGAGTCCCACGTCGGGCTCCCTGCATGGAGCCTGCTTCTCCCTCTGCCTGTGTCTCTGCCTGTCTCTCGCTCTGTGTGTGTCTCATGAATAAATAAATAAAATCTTTAAAAAAAAAAAAGAAGAAGAAGAAATGATGAGAGTAGGTCTAAGGAAAGAAAAAAACAGATACCAAGAACACAAAGTTTATGAAGAAAGGGATTTTCAGTTTCACAGAAAAGCAACAGCACTCCGTGGGGGGCAGAGGGAAGTATCCACGCATCAATGCCATCAACAGGCCTGAGCTTCCTAGCGGTTTCTGTCTCTCACTCCTCTGCACACTGGGCCTTAGCCGTGAGGTGGTGTTTGGCCAGCACCAAAACCAGAATCATGCTTGGGTTTTTTCACCTAGAATATCTTGCCTGAGCTCAGCCTCTGAAACTGCTCTCCTCCGCATTCTGCTCAAACATGTCTCCTTAGTGACACCTTCCCAGATACTCAACTAGAATTGAGCTCTGTTACAGCCCTTACCACGGTGATTTGTATTCAGGTCTTTCTCCACCAATTAGTAGGTGCTCAATTATTATTTGTGAAATTAAATTCAGCGTATTCCAAGTGTTGCAGTTAGCACAAATTGGATTTAATATCGTGTACATCAAGACCCATACCACAGAGATAGGATGCAAATATTCTGAGGTAACAGTTGAGATTAAAAACTATACAACAGAGAATTAAGTGTGTTATTAGCATCTTGCTCATATTTTCTGTGTTGTCTGAAGAGGTGCTGTGGCATTCACAGATTTATAGTATATCTGTGCATGCAGTGGAGTGGTTTCTGTTCCCACTTTTCTGCATGCTCTCTTCTCTGAATCTATCTGCATTTCTCTTGCATCTGTCACCAGAGCACCTTGACATCTGGTTGCACATTGATACATTTGGCATTTTTTAAGCTTCTGTCACCTTGCTTTGTTTGAGGGAAGTGATTTCCCTCTTTCTGACCCAGTCATTGTTTTTTATATGTTGTTCTCAGTTTAGCCAACATCAGAGCAGCACTTCAGAAAGGAGCCAGGTGTCATGGGAAGCTGGTTCCTCTCTGTGTCTCCGCGCTGGAGTCAGTGTCCTGTTCCTTTCAGCCTCTCATTAGTGTCCCTGACATTGTGCCAAGAGTGTTGATTGAAATCAACTCTCTGGATACTGATGCTCATTTGTGATGCCCCATGGTTCTCTTACACGTTCACAAGCTAACAGAATCTTCCTCAACTGTTTTCCCAGTTGAGATGAGATATTTGGGAATCAAGTAGAGCATTTAATGTAATAAGTGGACAGTAATCTTTAGAGGTTAATTTGTTTAAAACCTATGTAAGGTTGGGGTCCCATATGCCCTGTTAGGAGCAAGGACCATTATAATCTATTACTGTTTAAAGTTGAGCTAGCACATAAATTTTAATTCTCTCTTAAATGAAGATGTATTCTAGTAGATGTAATGCTAAAATGCCTAATAATATTCTTATAAAGAAGTTCAATAAGCTCTTTAGCCTAAAGAAGAAAATTTTTTTCAAAATAATCTCTTTGAAATTGAAGGTTCATTTTATAGATGAAAAAAGAGAGAGAGAAATCTAGCTGTTTAACCCACCCTCTTTCATGAGCAAAGAGACATTTCTTTCTGTTGCCATCTAATTGGTTTTCTCGACTTTGGAGTTTGAAAGATACCAGTTTGATTTCATTGAAGGATCCAAGATAAAGTGTCTGCCTCTCTGTATTGTGCTCTCTACAGCTAGGAAGGTGCTGAGAGCTGCTGCCTTTCACACCAGCTCTGGAGAGATTGCCTTCACTATGTGATGGCACCTCCATACTCACACTTTCAAAGGCACAGCACCCAGACTCTCACATCAGTAGCTAGGCTTCTCGACTTGAGCCCACTTTCAGCCACCCGGGAAGGTCAGAGTTGGATAGAACAGATGTGGGGATTAGAGCTTCCCTGTTCACATCCATCACAGAAGAGGTTAGTAATGGTGGTAAATGATATATAAGACCAGTGTTCTGCTTGCTTTCTAGGTGACTCCACAGGCGCAATGAAAATCAGAGTATTTGGTCTGGAATTGAACTGCATAGAACAGATTTTTATTTTTCCCATTTTTGTATCATGACTAGATTAAGTGCTGTTGCCTGAAAGGATAAAGGAATCAAGTTTAGTTTTCATTTTTATCATTGCAAATACATTTACATTCTCCTATTTTACAAATGCAAAGAGCAAGCAAGCCACTTTCAATAATTTATTTTAAAATCAATGCTAATGAGGTTATGTCTCGTCAGTGGCCGAGTTTTACAATAAAGTCTGATTTATTTAGAAAAGATCTTTGGTGTAGCTTCCCATCTAATGGTGGTGGGAAGGAGGTGGAGTCACAAGCACGGTGACCCTCCAACTTCGGATCCAATTTGTAATTCACAGCGGAGATCTGACCCAATTTACATTGATTAGAATTGGGAGGAAGAGACATCTGTGCACAGACAGCAGAGGTAGAATAAACCATCTCTGCAAAAGTGCCTAAGCACAGCAAATTATTGGTCTTTGTGATTGAGTTGCTTGGTATCAGCCGAAGAGATGCTCCCTATCCAAATTGTTGCGTATCTCTAAAACTGAGGCCATACCAACTCTTCTTTTAATGTTTTCAATCCTGTGAAATTGGTCCCAAGTCAAAAAGGAAAAGCATCACAGCAGAGGAAGGAAGGAAGTGGGCAAGTAATAGGAAGGCAATGTGCAAAGAATGATGTTTAACGTGATTTATTTCAGCAAGGTCTATTTCCGATATTCGGTTTCACTTCTCCATTATCTCACATCTTTATTCCTCATGGCGGCAGGGGAGGGGGGATGGGGGGAGCACTACAGGTAGTAAGGAATTCTCTGCTGTGAGGCCATATGTGAAGGTAAGAAGAGTTGAGTTCTTTTCCCACAGAATCTTGTAGGGCAAATATATATTATATATACAATAATTTTTTAATCTTAATAACATATGACTCATTTCCCCAGAATATCAATCCCTTAATTTTTATTTTTGCAGGCAAATGTATCATTTTGTATGTGAAATCAATAACTTCTTTAATGTTCTATAATGCTCCAACATGTTTGTGCTGTTTCTTCTTACTTATGAGCTCAGAGTTTACTTACCCCGTTCTGACATTCCTGAATTTATATTGCCCTATAAAACATATTTTAAAAAAAGAAAGCTGGGATCCCTGGGTGGCGCAGTGGTTTGGCGCCTGCCTTTGGCCCAGGGCGCGATCCTGGAGACCCGGGATCGAATCCCACGTCGGGCTCCCGGTGCATGGAGCCTGCTTCTCCCTCTGCCTGTGTCTCTGCCTCTCTCTCTCTCACTGTGTGCCTATCATAAATAAATAAAAATTTTAAAAAAAAATTTTTTTAAAGAAAAATAAAAAAAAGAAAGGTGATCCCTGGGTGGCTGAGTGGTTTAGTGCCTGCCTTTGGCCTAGGGCGTGATCCTGGAGAACCAGGATCGAGTCCTGCGTCGGGGTCCCTGTGTGGAGCCTGCTTCTCCCTCTGCCTGTGTCTCTGCCTCTCTCTGTGTGTCTCTCATAAATAAATAAATAAAATAGAAAGAAAGAAAGAAAGAAAGAAAGAAAGAAAGAAAGAAAGAAAGAAAGAAAGTGCAGTCCTGGTGGTTCAACGGTTTAGCGCCGCCTTCAGCCCAGGGTGTGATTCTGGAGAACCAGGATCAAGTCCCACGTCGGGCTCCCTACATGGAGCCTGCTTCTCCCTCTGCCTGTGTCTCTGCGCCTCTCTCTCTCTCTCTCTCTCTCTCTCCCATAAATAAATAAATAAAATCTTAAAAACATAAAGCAACATTGAGGAGTGAGAAGATAATACAAATGAAAAATACAAATGATAATACAAATTTTAAAAAATGGCTTAATATGATTCTGGTACTCATGCTTTCTTATAAAGGTCCAATTCCCATGGTAGCAGATAGTATGAAGTCTGAGAGGAAACAGGTTAATGAGGGTACAAAACAGGCCAATCATGTTGTGACTTTGACCATATAAACACTTGATTGGAGTTAGACAATAGCACTGACTTATAACCCATTGTGTACCTGCAGCAATTAATTAAAAGACCATTCCAACTGCCCTCAGGAGCTTACACTCTAATGAACAAGGCAGGCTGAATAACAACAATAAAAAGATAACTGCAAGCCCCAAGTACTAGGAACATAAAATTACTTACATGACCAGCTTCTGCTACAGCTGAACAAAACCTGATACATTAAGGACTAATTAATCATGGAGGGTTTAAACACGTGCTTAGCTACACACACACATACACACACACAGTAACTGGATGCTTACACAGAGATAATACATTTAGAAGAGAATTCTACAAGGAGAATAGAAATATAGCTTGAGGGAAAGGATCAGGATTCTAGTGATAGGTGCCTAAATAATCCAGTGGATTGAAAGCTCCACAAGGGCAGGGACCCTGCTTATCACCTATCACTGCATCTGCTGTTTCTAGAGAGGCACCTTGCATATAATAAGCACTTAAAAATGTTTATGAATGAATGAATGAATGAGTAGGGAAGGAGAGGGCCAGTTTGGAGATGCGAGATGATTAAAAAAGAAGAAGAAGAGAGAAGAAGAAGAAGAAGAAGAAGAAGAAGAAGAAGAAGAAGAATTTCCTTGAAAAGAAAAAGATGAGCTCTGAGAAAGCAGATCCACCAGTGTAAAGAGCATAAGACTATCAACCACTAATTGCTAATGCTGATTGTGTTTATCCCCTCAGATGAAGAGCATGATCTGGAAGAGGATCAGAATGGCACTCCACATAAAGGAGGTATGAGAGCTTCACAAATATGCAGGTACTGGGTAGGATTTTTAGGCTTGACTGGAGAAGGCACCTTGCTCCAGACTACAAACATTACCAGACTCACTAATTAAGAGGGTCCGGTGTGTCTACCTCAAAAGCCCCAGATAAGATGACTGGATAGGGAAATATCTCAATCTTAAAAGCAGCCACTCACCTTAATTAATGTTCCCGAAACAGCTAAGATTTATCCTAGAGAGGGTAAGAAACCAAACCAGTTATATATTTTTTCCTATCAGTATTTCCTAAATCAGTACAGTGAAAATAGAATATTCTCATCTCTAAGAGATCAGAGGATTGAGAATGGAAAGAATGGAAATGTCTCCTCTCTGAGAGGCCTGGAGATTGCAAGTTCAGAGGGGAATGGAAATGTGTCAGATCTGAAAAGTGAATGTGGGGTGAAGGATAGAATTGCTTGGCGACGCTGACTTCTGATGGCCTGGTTTGATTCCAGGCACATTTGAAAATGAATATGTAAGAGGTTTGTTGAATACAAAATTACATCTTATTCATCCCAGACTGTTAACCATGCTTTAAGCAGTTAGTGAGTCCATCCTTTCCTAAGGTCAGATGCCCCTCCAAAGCCTCCTTAAGTGGACCAAGGACCTACTCCATCGTTGTCAGTGAAGGAATATGAATTGCAAGGGCCACCTCAAGGACATCCATCCCATCAGCAGAGCTTAAATCGTGGCTGATTGTAGATACTAGCTTATTTTTTTTCTTAGAGATTCTATGAAAATCTTAAGCCTAAGGAGTTCTTCCCAACTACCTCTTCCTGATCCCTCCCCATTTCCCTGGCCCTTCCTTTTCCCATTCTCCTATCTCTTCCTATCTTTTGTTGTTTTTTCTCTTTGTTATCCACTCAGCAAGACCCCCTTCTCTAAGGTTAGTGCCCTATGGGAAGTAAACATGTAGCAGGTTTAGGGAAGGACCTAACTTCATCAATCCCCAACTTCTCCCAGGGACAAGAGGCAGCATTAGAAATCATGTGCCAGGGACACCTGGGTGACTCAGTGGTTGAGAAATCAGGTGCCAAAGCAGGAGAAAAAGAAAGAACTGGCACAAGTGTGATTTAGGATTAATGTAGCTTTCAGTAAGCACCTCATAACAGTAAACCCATATAATTAAGTTCATTCTGGGGATCCCTGGGTGGCGCAGCGGTTTGGCGCCTGCCTTTGGCCCAGGGTGCAATCCTGGAGACCCGGGATCGAATCCCACGTCGGGCTCCCGGTGCATGGAGCCTGCTTCTCCCTCTGCCTGTGTCTCTGCCTCTCTCTCTCTCTCTCTGTGACTATCATAAATAAAGTTAAAAAAAAAATTAAAAAAAAAAAGTTCATTCTGAAACCTATTTTCTACTGTTTCCTACTTGGCTGTGCAGAAATCCAACAGAAAATCTGTTTGCTGACCAACCCATGTCCCAAGTCTTTTCTCAACCAACTTCCAACATTGATGCAGAAAAGAAGACACCTCATGTGAACAGCTTGGGTTGAATAACTATAAATTTTCTATGGCCAATTTTATATTAAATTCCATGCAGGAGGGCACCTGGGTGTCTCAGTGGTTAAGCATCTGCCTGCGACTCAGGTCGTGATCCCAGGGTCCTGGGATTGAGTCCCTCATCAGGCTTACTGCAGGGAGCCTGCCTGCCTCTTCCTCTCCCTCTGCCTCTCTCTCTGTGTTCCTTGTGAATAAATAAAACCTTTTAAAAATAATAAAGAAAGAAAGAAACTCCATGTAGGAAGCAGCAGTCTCTAGCAAAAGTCTAAAATTCAGTTTCAGGGGATCCCTGGGTGGCTCAGCAGTTTAGCACCGCCTTCAGCCCAGGGTGTGATCCTGGGGTCCCAGGATCAAGTCCCACATCGGGCTCCCTGCATGGAGCCCACTTCTCCCTCTGCCTGTGTCTCTGCCTTCTGTCTCTGTGTCTCTCATGAATAAATAAATGAAATCTTTTTTAAAAATAAAATAAAATTCAGTTTCAGACTCCTCCCTCATCACATTTCCTCTTTCAACCTTTCTTTCTAAGGTTCTATCTTGGGTGGGGGAATGGTGAGGGGAGATTTATTTCTTAACTATTCAACATTCTAATTCAAGTAGGTTTAAAAAAAAAAAAACAGGCCTTTTGTTCCTCATGCTTCTTGCCTCCAAAATAGGTGTTGTTAAAGTGTAGTGAGCTCTAAATATGTTTCCATGGTTTATACTTCCCACCAGTTATAATGATTGGTGACTTAGTGATTAAAAAACAGAGGACTTTTTGCTCTATCTGCAGAATCTGAGGCAGGAATTTTTATTATTTGTGTTTACTTATTTATTTATTGAATTTATACAGTGCCTTTTCTCCAGAGAAGCTATAGATATGGCAACAAATATGGAGCATCCAAATGTCATCACTTAGCTTTATAACAATAAAATGTACAGGTCCAAGGAAAGGGTAGGCAGCCCCATGAAGACATATAAAAGGGAACTCTGGGACAATGTGAATTCTTATGTAATAGACAACCTACACAAGTTTGGTTCACTTAATTTTTTTCTCAGATGTCATATGTCTTTGGCAGGGTGGCGGACTTTTCTCCTAAAAGATACCGTGGCTAGCAGGGTTACCTTTTTTCTCCAGAACTCTTCCAGGGATCCTGTTCCCAGAAATGCTGTGCTTTCCCATGATACAATTGCTAACATTTTTAAAGCCCAACTAGATCTTATCAGAAGAGGGAAAAAAAAAAGGAATTCAGTTTATCCTCATTGGGTGTTAATGACCCTGTAAGATGTAATTTCTTTTATTTTATTCTGTTACCTAGAAAATCTATCACAGCCTTGTAGTATTGATTGTTCAATCTATAAAGAGCTCAGTTTACAGCATGACTGTTAGTAACAGGGTTATTTTAATGAGTGACTCTTCAACACCTCAGATTCTCACTAAATTGCAACCCATCAGCCTAACAGTCTAACACTAAGTGTCTTCTGTGATGAGAGCTTATCTCCCTTCCCTATCATGAGAAGGCAATATCCAGGTAACGAAAAATAAAACTCATTCTGTGCTGTTTATATGAAAATTACTGGCCATTGGCTTGAGTATGCCATGTCAAATAAAAAGCCAAGCTGGAGGCACAACTCATCCTTAGATACATCAAATACCTGACCAAGGAGATCTCCAAACATGTTGTTTTCACTCTAAAATGGTAGGCCAATTCAGCCAAAAAAGAGCCCACATGTGGTACCTTCTGCAGGGCAGAAAAGGAGTCAGTGATGAACTTCCACCACCAAGGCACTTTTCCATTTTAGCGCATACCAATGGAGTGATTACATGAAAGGGACAGAGGAAAGCCACAGAAGTATTTGCAGCTCTTACTTTTTGAAACCTATTTCCCAAGACCAAACATTAGTTGGTCATCAGCCAGCTACAATTTTGGCCCAATAAAAGGAGCATGGGAGATGAAGATCAGGATCTGTGAATGTTCTCAACTTCAAAATCATACTTACAACATTAAGGACCATAGAATTTTAAAACCCAAGATTAAAGGGCTGTAAAAATAAGCAAATGGTAATGTTCAGCGGCTCTTCCTATTCTGGTGTGTCAGTGGAGCTTGGCAAATTTCTTTTTTTTTTTTTTTTAAGATTTTATGTACTTATTTGAGAAAAAGTGTCCACACGAGCAAAGGGAGGGAGGCAGAGGAAGAGAGAAGTGCAGAAGGAGAGGGAGAAGCAGACTGCCTAATGGGCAGGGAGCCCAATCTAGGGCTCCATCCCAGGACCCTGAGATCATGAACTGAGGTGAAGGCAGATGCTTAACCAACTGAGCCACCCAGGTATCCTGGCAAATTTCTTTATGGCTTTCTTTCTGAAATGGTTACTAAGGTATCAGACTGAGTCTGCTTTAATGGACTGAACATGGTGGATTTCTCCAGCCTGGCTTAGAAAAATATTTCAAGTCCCTTCCAGTGGGTCACTGCTTTGGCTTTCTCTTTCTCACCTACCCATGGTCTAGCGAGGACTGGCTTTATCCATCTTCTCATTCTGTCTCTCTTTTTCATAATTTGTTAAGTAGTTGCTCCCATAGCCAGGCCTCATTAGTACAGCCCTTTGGCTCATCAAGCAAATGTAAACAGCAGGCTGACCTGCCTTTAGCCTTTTTCCCTTGGTCACAGCTTGAATTCTGGAGCTACCCACTCTCTCCCAAACAAAAGCTCAAGGTGACATATGAACCCTAGAAGGAACACAGTCAAGATCTGTGGTTCCTAAGGAGGAGAACAGCCAAAAAGGTGTCCTGGTCCTTCCTGAGAACTCTCATTATAGAGGCTCATTTTCAAATTCTGACTCTATCAACAGTAGTACCATCCTGGCCTCAGTTACAGGAGAAATGACCACTGCTGGTTATAAAGAACTTGTTGGGGCACCTGGGTCTCAGTGGTTGAGAATCTGCCTTCAGCTCGGGTCATGATCCCAGGGTCCTGGGATCAAGGCCCACATCAGGCTCCCTACAGGGAACCTGCTTCTCCCTCCGCCTATGTCTCTGCCTTTCTCTGTGTGTCTCTGATGAATAAATAAATAAAATAATTAAAAAAAAAAAAGAACTGGTTGTGGAATGAAAAATGTTTTGCAGTAAGTATCTAGAAAAGAGAGAGAAACAATATATTTTTAAACTTAGACTATTGCTATTCTTCCTATGACATTTTGTTTGCTGGGAGCTTAACTTCTCTTATATGGGATAAAGGAAATAAGATACTTCCCCACCCCCTGCTTTTTTTTTTTCTCTAGAAAAAGTCCTTCTCAGCTCTGCTAGCAATTTAAATGCAGTGATCATACCCATTAGCTTCTCTATCATTGTAATTGTTGTTAATTGTTATAACTGTTTTAGTTATTAGTAGTGTCATTATTGCTCTAGGTCCTCTGTCTGTTTTATGCTGAATATATTAGTGCTTTGCTTTTGAATTACCAGGCTTTATTTAGTGCAGAGTTACGGTTTTTTTGGAGAGACATTGAGAAATGCTGGCATTAAGCTTTATTCTTTTGTTTTTCATTCCAAATGGACAGACTGGAAAAAAATAATTAGATGGAATAATGTCCTCAAAATGAGAATGAGGATGCTTTGAATTAATTAAATGGTCAGAATGCTGCACCATTTCTGATCTGAGACTTCTACTAGAGTCCTGTAAACCTAAAGGAACCTCAATCCAGCCCACAGAGGAAATCTCTCAGGCTCCCAATTCCTCACTGGTCTGAAGACAGTCTCCTATGCATTCGCTTGTTTATAGAATGACCCGGGCAAATTTAGGGAGAAGCTGGACTGACCCTGCAAACTTTTAGGCCTTCAAGCTCTTCCACAGGTCAAAGGGTCCGGAATGAAGTCCTCCTCCACCTTACAACTTCCCCTCCTCAAGATCTTCAAATAACACCCACTCTCAGGTGTTGATAACACAACCAAAGCTTCTGGGAAGCCTTCCATAAAGTGAGCTTCGCTATTACACACAGAACCCTCAACTTCCCCTTTGAAGACGTATCACAATTATAGATAAGTAAATATCTGTACAACTCTGTTTCAAACAGTGCCACCCCCACCACCACCAGACAGTAGCCCTAAGAGCAGGGACTGTGTGTGGCTAACACTAATTCCCAACATCCCGCCCAGTCCTTGGCACTTTAGTAAGTGCTATGTACATACCCGTTGAATGCTGAGGAATAAGGGTAGTGAAGTTGTGTGTATACATACACATAAATGCAAGTCACACATGTTAAAGAGAGAGTCAGCAATATGGAGTCTAGTCTTATCCATCCTCACCGATTTCCCTAATACCAGAACATCTCTGTCTAGAAAAGTCCCCATACTTAGCCCTTCATTCTGCTTTTTCAAGGCTGTCCTTTTATGGTTCTAATTCTGACAATTCTGGTTCTCGGGCTAGGTAAACTATCTGCTGGATTCCTGAACTCTACCTTCTCTTAGCCTTTAGCTTGTGAAGAACCAAAAGCATTTCCTATATTTTTTCTTGAAAGGCTCTTGTTTTCTTCCTACCTTCTTTTTTTTATTTTTTTTATTTATTTATTCACGAGAGAGAGAAGAGAGAGAGAGAGGCAGAGACACAGGCAGAGGGAGAAGCAGGCTCCATGCAGGGAGCCCAACGTGGAATTCGATCCTGGGTCCCCAGGATCGTACCCCAGGCCGAAGGCAGCACCAAACCGCTGAGCCACCAGGGCCGCCCTTCCTCCTACCTACCTTCTTGCCTTCCTCAAGATCTACATTGCTTTTAGAATAGGTCTTTTTCAAGGTATTCTCCTCTGGTGTCTTATACGCCCAATATCAAGTGACTTTTTACATATATCCCCAAAAAGTACTCATAATCTTAGGAACATTTCCAGGCACATAGGGAGCAGTACCCCCCAGTGACCATCTCTAAGCCAGGCAAACCCAAGACAACTTTGCCAATCTTCTTGCCATTCAGAAATACCAAGTCGTATATAAAACTTTTTATAAAATTATTTTCTCTATAATATAAGAATGTATGAAGAATATTGATGTCAATATACTTTTCATTTCTGGGGTGCCTGGGTGGTTCAGTTAGTTAGGTGTCTGCCTTCAGCTCAGATCATGATCCCAGGGTGCTGGGATGGAGCCCCACATCCAGCTCCCTGCTCAACAGGGAGTCTGCTTCTCCCTCTCCCTCTGCCACTCCCCTTGCTGTGCTTTCTCTCTCTGTCTCTCAAATAAATTTTATAATTTATATATATACAATTTTATATATATTATTATAATATGTTTTTTCATTTCTAGTTTTGTCAAAATCTTCAGGTAATTAATCAATGCCATTATAACTAAAAATACTTTAATATATCCTCTGGGAAAACCATTTTCACTCTTCAGGGACTGATATTTCTCTATTATTTCATGTCCTGGTATCCCCGAAAATACATTATTTATCTTTCCAATAGTTAGTATTTTTCTCCCAATGTGTTTTTCTTCCAAACGCATTCTTAACTCCATGGTTTCCAGTGTCATTGTCTTGTTTGCTGCCCTCTGTTGTCTACTGCATATACAATTACCTTCCTAAAAGAAAACATAACTGATTTTATATGGTTAACATTTTTACTTCTGTTCACAATAGCTGCATCTTAATTAATAGATCTGTCCCACCTTGGTTTTTGTGCACTATAAGATTTCTACTAAAGTTCCTTCCCAGGGCAGCCCTGGTGACGCAGTGGTTTAGCGCTGCCTGCAGCCTGGGGTGTGATCCTGGACACCCGGGATCGAGTCCCATGTCAGGCTCCCTGCATGGAGCCTGCTTCTCCCTCTGCCTGTGTCTCTGCCTCTCTCTGTGTCTCTATGAATAAATAAATAAAATCTTTTTTAAAAAAAAAGTTCCTTCCCAGATACACAGGCACTTTGTTCTCTTGTGCCTTTATTATTTGAATTGCTGATAAGTAAGGCACAAGTTTTTTAGAAAGCAAACAGAGCCAGTGCCTCTGTCTACCCACACTGCCCACTTGCCTTCCTCCATCTATTCCCATCCTCAGTGACCAGCACCATCACTCCTCATGCATGGGAAGGTCAAAACAAATGAAAGGAAAGGTAGAAACTGGTACAAATAGGGTCCCCAAAAGTTACTTGAAGTTTAATTAGAACCCAGGACTCCTGACCCCCATCAATAAGAATCTCATTTTGGTAGGTGCTTAGCTGACATCTCTCACACACAGCATCCTGAGGAACAGGAGCACTGCCACCTCATCCCTGGTCTAGTGGGCATTTGCTCTCCTGCCATTCAAATCCCCAGATCCTCTCCCACTTTGTGCTCTAGTTAGTGTTTAACCTTTCCGGGAGAAGAAGATCAATACAGATTCTTCATTGCTAAGAATCGATGGCTGTCCTGTGGCATCACTGCCATCCAGTCTTGCTGAGAAGCCCAGTAAATCTCTCCGGCTGCTTCAAAAGCTTGGTTTGTCGTCTTCAGTTGCTTTCATTTTTAATGCAGATCACTTTGGTTTCTGTCCCCCTGGGGGCTTGCAGATAAATCTTGGCAGGCGTGTTCAGAGTCTACAAATGAGATGCTGGAAAAGGGCCAGCCCACCCAGAATTTAGTTGTAATGGATGAGACACCCCCTTGGTTCCACTTAAAGACTGGGCTGTTCGTAAGCATATTTATTGGGGGATTACCTCATATAGTACCTGGGTGGGAAGTGCCCAGGATGAAGTTCCTGTGTAACAGAAGACACCAACATGTGAGATTGTGATGCAGATACATGCTGGCTGACTCAGCCTCTCCGTAAATAGGCAGAAGTCAGAGACTTATCCCATTCCTTCAAATGCATTTTGAAGAGAAGTCCTGGATAGTTTAGATGCTCTGAATCAAGGAAATCTCTGCACTGCTTACTTACAAACCAAGTAAAAAATTACCTGTTTTTCTTTTATTAATAAATGAATGTATTTATCATATTATTGAATAGCATCTGACTAAGGGTGATCTGTAAATATTTAATGTTAGTTAATGATCTCCTTTTCCCACAGTCCTTTGCTCATGCTGAGTGTTTGGCTGTATCTCATCACAACCCCGCTGAATCCTAGGTTTCCTAGGGGCAATATTAGAACCCTGGTTTCCATTTACAGCAAAAATGTGGGCTCCCTGGAAAAAAGACAGAGTCCTTTTAACTTTGATTTCTCCTTTCTTTGATCAGTGGACTATACCAATTATTACCAGGGCCTATGGGATTGCCATGGTGACCAGCCAGACGAACTGTCCTTCCAACGGGGTGACCTCATCCGCATTCTGAGCAAGGTAAGGACGTAGAATGTGGAGCTTGAATCAAAAGTCGATTTTTGTGGGAAGCCTGGGTGGCTCAGTCAGTCAAGCATCTGACTCTTGATTTCATCTCAGGTCATGACCTCACAGTTGTAAGATGGAACCCCTCCATACTGGGTGTGGAGCCTGCTTAAGATTCTCTCTCTCCCTCTTTCCTCTAAAAATTTATTTTTTCACTTTCAGTGATGTAGTCACCATAACCAAAATTATTCCATGTCATACATTTCTCTTGTGTGTATTACATGGCTCCCTCACACATAGAGTAAATTCCCATTGATTCTTAATCGTGGAAAATTTTAATTGAAAATTCAGAGTCAGGAACTAATTTTCAAATTTAAAAATGCAACAAAGTAGCTATAACACTAAAACTATGCCAATCAAATTATTCTTTTTAGGGTATTGTAGTGCTTAAAAGGTCATCATTATGTACATAATTTATTACTGTGTAATTCTCTTGAAAACATTCTGGCTTGGTAAACCACCTTCTTATGTCATTTACAGATAAACAAGACTATAATATAATTATGGTGGGGCAGGGGGGGCAGTCAGAGCTAATTGGTTCAATTGGTTTGAGCAAGTGCTGGTAAGACCAAGATAGTGAATCCAACTCCACGAGAGCCAGCTAACTTTATTCTCTTCCTCAGTCATAAAGCTAATCCCTAGCGCCAACTAACCATCCCACAAATAGTGTTGTTGATTATAAAAGAATTGAGAAAAAAATAAAAGGATAGATTATTGCCTATCCATCACTAATGTGAAGAAGATTCAGAAATTACAGGTTACCGTTTGAGGGATCAATAGCATCATCCTTTGTAAAGAAAGATTGTACATATTCTATATAGGTGGACTTAGGAAATAGGTTCTGTCCCTGAAGTAATGTATGAAAAAGTTCTTTCTCTATGAGGTCAATCTCTACAAACACATTTTTTAAATAGGCACTATTTGTTCTTTAATTAATGAGTATGTGGATTCCATAAAGGCAAATTGAAAACCCATTCTGTTATTAACTCATCATTTGCTATTTATTTTTATTCTGTCAATGGCCAAGGGTTTGTCTCAATTTGAAAGATACCATAAGATCCTTAGGAAAAAGACCAGGGCCAACGTTAGGTAACTTTCAGTAGTTGCAGCAAGTCCCCTTGCAGTAAGGCCCAAATTCAGACCCAATCTTTTACAAAAGAGTAGGAAGCCTGCAAACCCGGCTGAGATCACAGTCTTCTAGTAATTTCTTTCAGAGTCCTAATTTAGCTCTATCCTAGTGCCATTCTGGTGCAGCTCCAATACACCAAGAATAAATTGGAAGCAAAGAAGGGAGTGGACATTGGCCTGATTGGTATTTCAAATGCCCGAAAGCAAGGTTTGCCTTGTAATAGAATTTGTGTACATTACCACGCTGGCATTACAGGGGTAATCGAGTTATCCACTCAGGTGTGACCAGGCCTCTGTTTGCCCAGAGCCCGCAGGTGAACAAATTAACTGTTTACATTGTCTGAGGTGCCTGCAGCAGGAGGGGGGGCAGAACAGAGCCAGACTGTCTGCTGGCCTTCTCTCTCGGTTGTGATTATTTTGTTTGTTTTGCATGTCTTTTGCCTTTGTTAATGGCTTCTCACTAGGGGTCCTTTTTCTCCATTTAGAAGGGGCTGTGTGGTGACTTGCCCTGCAGTACAGAGCTATCTGCAGTTACCCTGGCTGTTGTATTTTTAAGAGATACCAAAGAACATGGAGAGCCTCCCCTACCCATCTGTTTTAACCAATCCTCCTTCCCTTACTGAAAGCTAATATGTCAAACTTTGATGCAGGGAGAACACCTTGCTGCTTTGGTTTGGTCTGGTTTCTTTCTCCATCTTTCGGAAGGCCTTAAGTCTATTTTCATCCTTTCCCGATGTAGTAGTGCATTTCTCCCCCCAAAAGCTACACCAGCTGCCTCCCTTCTGCACGCTGTTAATCCCTGCATGTCAGAGGAGGAAATGAGAGGCTGGAAGCTCAACTGGAGTTTCCCTCATAAAGCTTCATTCCAGTTAACGTTGGCTTGGGGAGCATTTTGGATTGGATTTACCTTTATTATATCACCTAACTCAATAACAGTCCTTGGACAGGAAGGAACCTTAAAAGGCCAGCCAATCCATTCCCTTGCCTCTAAGAAACACAAATGAAACAATTCAGACAGATAAGAAAAGGAGATCCCTCTATCATTAGCAGTTTGTCTACTCAGACATTCAGTAACTCCGAATCTCTGGAATTTGTTCTCACATGAATCCTAAATGCATTCCAGTTTAGCCCCAACTGGCTTCCTTTGGGAGAGTCAGTTACACTCTGCAACCTGCCTCTTGCATGTAGAGGAAAAGAACTGACCCAAGTGGAAGTTAGTCCAAAAAAATGGTATCTAGAAATCTCCATTTTACTTTTCTCTCTGACCAGTAAAACCTTTGTCAGACAAGAAAGGCCTACTGGCTTAGGAACCTGGAGAAGTCTATTTCTACCAAGAAAGCCAAGACAAGATGCAACTGGGTACATACCTGGATCAGTTTCCTTCCCCGTAAAATGAGGGAGTTGTGTTGGATAGCCTCTAAAGTTCCTTCCACCCTTAGGATTCCTATCCTAAACACAATGAGTTTGACACCACATCATTGCTAAAGAAATTCCACACGAAAATGTGTTTAGCTTTAATTATTTATTCAGATTAAACAAATTTAGGGGCAGCTGGGTGGCTCAGTCAGCTAAGCATCTGCCTTCAGCTCAGGTCGTGATCCCAGGATCCTGGGATCCAGCCCCACTTTTGGCTCCCTGCTCCATGGGGAGTCTGCTCCTCCCTCTTCCTCTGCCTTCCCCTGCTTGTGTGTGCTCTCTCTCTCACTCACTCAAATAAATAAATAAAATATTTTTTTAAAAAAAGATTAAACAAATTTAAAAATTTCTGTTATAACTTGTTTTGGGCCCTCATAAATGCCTCTGGTTTTCCCCTCTTCTTTGTATGATAAAAGAAATACTGGGGGAGTGGGCAGGTTAAGAACAGGAAATAGCCCCTGGATGGGGAAGTGAGGTGGGGGGGGGGCTTTATTCCTGGGCTCCTGGTGCTCCCTGTTGTTTCTGAATAGTTGCCCAAATATGATCCAACCTTGAATCTTAGAATCCTAAGTAGAGGAGAATCTGTTAGGGCCTAGGGCGTAGGCCCTTTGGGTAAGAATGATCCCAGAAAGAGAGCTATTTGTCCATTTTATGATTTTATTTTATTTTATTTTACTTTATTTTTTAGAGAGCTAATGTGAGTGGGGGTGGAAGGGGGGGGCAGAGGGAGCTAGAATGTTAAGCCTGCCATGGGGCTCAATCTCAGGACTCAGAAACCAAGACTCTGAGTCACCCAAGTGTCCCTATTTATCTTTTTTAAAATAAATTTTCCAGAGAGGATGATTGGCTGGGCAAGAAAGATACATCCAAGAGATAACCAAATAACCATCACCTGTCCTATTCTTAAGGAAGCGGATCAGTAACAGATGAGTTACTTAAGTGACCCTGAGCAAAGTCACTTAATCCTGCTAATCTTCTATTTTCTCATCTGTAAAAATTGGGATAACTTCTATTCATAGAGGTTATGATGCTTGCATTAGAGAATTCATGTAAAGAAGTATCTGGCATCTAGGGAATGGTAACTATTATGATATTCCTCTCTTTTCCACTAACAATAAAGTAAACCCTTGGGGTCAATGCTGGGTACATACCAAGAGTTCAACAAACTATTGGTAAAGTGAGAGAGGAAAAGCAGGTAGCCTGTCCTGCCAAGAACTCTTCACAGAGACACTCAAAAGCACAAAAGCTTCTTGCTTGGCAATAGAAAACCATCCAGTGAAGAGGCTTACATGGAAATCCATCTAGCCTTTCCTGGTCTGAGAGATTTTGTCACTGACAAAACTGATGGATCGTTCAGGCTTCTCGTTTGATGAGAGGCCGGAGCCACGTATCCAAGCTCTGAAACGGTAACCAACGGGCGCAGTCAGCAGGACCCCTGCTGACCTCCCCTAACACATCCATGCATTCCCGGGCCCCTTGCAGTTTCATGCCCACTTAATTCACTGAGTTCCAATTTGGGTCTTAAAATATATTAAAGGGAGATTTTAATAACGAAGCAGATCTGTGCATCTAGCGGATGTTCCTGCGTTCCTTTCGGGGCCCTGATATTTCTGAACAGCTTTTTCTGGTACAGGAACTGAGCTCCGCTTCCCCCCACCCGCACCCCCACTGCCAAGCAGGGACGCAGCTCAGGCCACAGCGGGGTGTTTAGCGCTCTTCAGTGGCTCCAGATTGTGGTGGCGCTTGTGCAGGTCTCCTCATACGTAACCGATGGCTCCTGAGAGCCTGCCTCTCGTAAATTACTTCCCACGATGCCTGCGACCACCACAGAATTCAAGTTTGAATAGAGCAGGAAAAAGGTGTTTGAAAGGCCTGTTCACTCAGCTGCATTTTAATTTCCTTTTCAATCTTGTCCCAATTAATTTCACAGAATTAATCTCACAGAAGCAAACTCGGCAGCACTGAGGCTGTGGTTTTAGTGTGGCGGTTGCTCTGCCTGAACATGAAATAGGAGCTAATATAAAAATCCATCTGCTGTGTTTGAAATACACGCCGGCTGCTGCTCAGTCCTGTCTGACATTCCAAACATCAACAGCGGGGGAAAGTGATTTGGGGGTTAGTGGCCATCAGTACTTGGCAGGGGTTCAACAACAGGTGTACTCCAAAAATCCATTCAGCCTGGGCACCAGGCATGACAGGGCAGGTGCTGAAGCACCCTCCATGCAGCAGCGCTGTTCCCTGGCTTAGTTTCTTTTATCTGTGGAGCGTGAGGCCCCTTCTGTGGACCAGCACTGTTGTGGGCTTTTATTTTTAAGCGAGAGAAAGGGAGGAAAGAAGCCTCTATTTGGATAAGATGAGTCATAAGTTCCAACTTTCAGAGAAGTGACTCTCTTCCTGGCTCCAAGGTCTCT